ATGCTTAATTGTGCACAAAAATCTTGTTTGAGTTCTCTAAGTACTGCATTTCTCAATTACTCAGCCCTTACTTACTATGAAGTGATAATTAGGCATTAAAAGCTAAGTGGATTACTGTGGAGATCTCTCCTGATATCCATTTATCACTTAATCAGATTTTAATACCATAAATTATGCATTTCTCAGCAGTATTCAGATTCCAATGATTTCTATATCAGTTTGGAGTTATAGGTTTTCTTGACCTCATTGTGGCAGGGAAAATTTGTAAAGTTCATTTAAAGGATAGAGCCATTATAAGAATTTCAGATTTATAGCAAAATAATTCTTAAAACCTGTTTGATTGCACTAATATTTATTCATAAGGGTTTCTTGGACAAGACAATTCCATCCTCATGAATAAATATGAACAAAATGGATCCAAAATACATATTGAATTGAAGTTTATTCCCAGCTTTTCTTTCTCCTCCCAACTTTGCCTTCCAGACCTCAGTAAAGAAAATAAATAGTAAAAAACCCCAACAATTTCCTTCGAGATAGCAACTTCCTCAATGCATTCAGTTGATTTTTCAATTAAAATATCTATTTATGTTTTAGCATACCTTGCCAAGAGAAAGTGGTTTCTGAAAGTATTAATTCTGAAAGTATTAATCATGATGGAATCTCCCCAGAGATGCAGACACATAAAGTTACCATTAGTGTCAATGCAAACAGAGCAAATAAGAGACTTGTAAGTGTAAGGTGAAGATACCCATAGTTTCCCATGCAGTATTACATATAATGATAATAATAAACAGCAAGAAGTATCTAATTTCCTCTTTTCTCTATTATTTTGATTTTGCCATAGCAGTGTATTTAAAAACAGTTTTAACCCAGTAAGCTTTATAAATTACAGTGGAATATACTCTTAGCTACTGAAAATTTGATGCATGGTTTTGACTGAGGAGTAAAAAGACAAAATAAAAATTAGGAGTCTATATATTATGCTGATCAACCTGTCTGTAAGTACATGAGACTGCACTGGTGGTT